ATGTTCACGTGTATAGTTATCAACTTATCATGTCAAATCCGGTTTCGATTTGGATTCAGGTTATTTCGGTTTATGGAAATTTGAAACATATTTAGAATCAATTTGGTTTAGTTTGAAACGGTTTAGTAAAATTTATAATCAACTTGATTTGTAATGCTCTTTTTTTCCTTTTCATATTTAGTTTATTTCACTTTCAATACCATTTTGTTTCTGATGTTCGCTTAACCGATTTGGAATCATTGTAACGTTTTTAACTAATTCAATCTTCCAAAATGATCCACAGGCAAGACCTACACTTACTTCTCAAGTTTACCAGACCTATTCAACGAAACCGATTCACCAAATCCACCGTACCATTACATTATGAAAGCCGACGACGACACATACATAAGACTAGAAAGCCTCGTCGCATCTTTAAGACCATTACCTCGAGAAGATCTCTACTACGGCTACGTCATTCCCTGTCCAAGCATGGACCCATTCGTACATTACATGTCAGGAATGGGTTACTTAGTCTCGTGGGACATCGCAGTTTGGCTCAAAGACTCGGAAATTCCAAAAAAACATTTAGAAGGTCCTGAAGACAAAGTATTTGGCGATTGGATTCGAGAAGGAAGACGAGGGAAAAACCGGTTTAACGCTAAATGGTCCATGTATAATTTCCCCGAGCCACCGACTAGATGCACGCATGAGCTTTGGCCTGATACTATTGCAGTTCATTTGTTGAAGAACCAAGAGAAGTGGATACGGACATTGAACTATTTCAATGTTACTAGCAATCTTAAGCCTTCTAAATTATATCACATACCGTAGATTTCTTTCTTTCTTTTAATCAGATTATTATTAAAATAATTTAGAATGATAGACGATAGTATGGTCAGATGGAGTATATCAGAAATTCATCCGTCTATATAAGACCCGTACTTTTGCAATTCAAACATATTTCAAAAATCACAAACACAAAAAAATCCATCCATACCAGAAAAAAGGTGTTTCAGAAATCACAAAAAAAATCAATCCATACCAAAAAGAAAAGGTGTTGTATAGCGAACATGGCAAAGAGCAAAGACGGTTCGCTACTCAAGACTCAAGAAGAGAATGAACCATCTTCAACTGGTTCTTCAAGGGAGGCATTGTGGAGAACGGGGAGTTTATGATCCATCTTCAACGAAGACATATACGTCCAAGCTGAGATGTCCGTAGCTTGTTTCTACACGTAGCTTAAGATTGAGAGACAATTCTCTTTGGTACTTAAATATTGTCTTAGGTAATAAACAAGAGTTTCAACTACAGATCGCCTTTATTTATTTTATTCATTCGTTCATTGATTGTAATAATATATTCCCTCTTGTTCCATTTCCATAGAGTTTGGCGTTTCTGTGTTGATGGACTTTCTTCACTTCTTCACTGGTTCCACTGCATATCATCAGCAAAATTAGGATTTTACAAAATCATAATTAAACGAGACAAACAAAAGAACCTCCCTCAAGTACCTTGTGGAGTGTAACTCCAAGGAGAGTCTTTCCATTGTTCATGGACAAACCGCCCATAATATTCTAAGAACTTAAAAGTGGCAGGCAGATTCTCCTTCTTTGGTGGTAATCCGTCNACAAAATCATGAGCTGCACGTACGCCTTTGGTCTTCGCAAGAAGATCCACAAAGGTTACATTATCTGAGGGAGAAAACGTCATTTTCTTTCTTTGCATCCACTCAAAGATCTGCAATGACAAACGATCAACAAAAAAAACAGAATTGGATCAAAATTCAGACTGAGAGACTCATACAACAGAATTGGATCAAGCATAATCAGTATCAGCAAATCGAAATGAGGAGAAAGAAGAAAAAGGAGAGAGACCTCGAGTGCTTGCTGAGTTTTCCCCTTCTTGTCAAGGAGGTCAGCCCAACGGACAAGATCAGGCCCTCTTCCCGATCTAAGATATCTGCCACCGTTCCTCCTACTTCATCAATACTGGAGACTTTCCAATATACACTGGTCCCTTCCCTTGACTCATTTCCGTTGGCCACTCCAGAAAATAGGCGGCGAGAGACTGTGTATGTAGAAAATCCAGAATTGGCCCGGTTCAAGATCCCAGAAGTCACCATCTTCAACGAGCGAGAAGTTGTATCCACCTACAATCAGAATCAAAGAGGTTCATTATCAGAACTGAATCATTAGAGCTACAAAAAAATAGCACTCATCAATCAAAAGTTGAAACAAGCGGAACCAACCATCTTTGATCTTCACGTAATGAGCCTATGAACTAAGCAATTTACCATTCAAAAAGTTCCAGGAACTTGATATATTCAACTAAAGAATCAAAGACATTGGTGGGTAAGTTGCACACTTACAGATTTTCCATATCGATCCCGTTCTGTAGCAGCAGTATAGCAATCCCGTTCTGTCACCTCCATTGCTCCTGCGTGCATGTAACGAGGATGCAAGAAAAGCTGAGCTGTTCCACACAATGGCCTGATTTTGCTTCCCTACCATTTTGATAGAAAGAACCCTTTTTCAATCTGAAACAGCAAGATGCGAAAGCAGTCGAAGAAGATGTCCAAGGACTAAAAATTATACGGTCTTTAATAGTGAACCGTAATGGTGTTTTCAGAAGGTTGGATTACCTCAAGTGTATTTCCATGAGGGGCTATGTCTCTGTCATGGAAACACCACCAGTCAACTCCAAGTTTCTTCAATGACGTTCTCACTGTAGTTGCAGCATTCAACAACAAACAGCA